CTTCTCACGCGCGTACATAAGTACACGCACCCATTTTTTTTATATTACTATGAATGTTTTCTTCGAAGGAATTTTCAATAGGTAAGAAATTTTCTCTAACAGTTTTTTTTTCTTTATTAGGGTAAACAAACAATGATACAATCTTGTTACATTATAGACGAATATTATCAGTGTACTAATTGCATCATCCACTACATTTACCACAGAGTTTCTAACAGTAATTAGCATTGGGAGACTATACATTTAACTTAAATTTACTATTAATTTACTTTATTCGCCTATTATACTCAAATATGTAAATACATACTCTATAATACAATTTCTGATTTATTTACTTAAAAGTTTCAAGTACTTTTCTCTTAAACGAAGAAACAGGGATCGCAAAAATATCAATGATATTAAATTTGTCGTTGTAAGTCTGGGCAAGCCGATACAAGGGAGATCGTTTGCCTGCATTTGTACGACATTTTGGCAATGAGAAAGACCTACATGGGGTACGACAATGTGATCTAGTAGGAACTCTGTAAGATATTATATCTATCAGTGGTATGCAGTCGTATCTATTGTGAACATAAGTCATACAATAATGACATTTCAAGCTGAAGTCGTCTTTGTTGAAGGGTAGGAAGTTCATACCTACAAAGCAGCTGCTCGTAGGGTAAGCGACTGTGGTGGAATTTATAGTGTACACATCTTAAAATTTTTTTTTGGACAGATTCAAATGCCTTTTTGTATTTATCATAGAAAGGATTCCAGATGGGTACTGCATATCTCTATTTAGGAGCGAATTAATGATTTATATAAATAAATGTATGTGGAAACTCGGGCGAATTTATTACTCGATCGCATTATAAAGCCATACATCTTATATGCTTTGGCTTTGATGTTGTCAACATGTAGATCCAGATGAAACTTGTTATCTAAAGTTATCCCCAGATCTCTTACCGACTTCACAGACTCAAGATATTCATTACACAATTTATATGAATAATTACTTATATTAGTTTATTCTTTTTAGTGAATGTGATTGTTTTGCATTTCATGATTTATAAATTTAGCTTATTTTCACAGCAATATATAGAGAGACGATCAAAATCTTCTTGGAATCCAATATGGTCATCCTTGCTATCAATTGTGTGATATATCTTAAGATCATTAGCATATAGCAGAAAACTACAAAAATTAAAACATTTATGGATATCGTTAATAAATAATATGAACAGCAAAGGTCCCAGTATAGATCCCTGTGGAACACCAGATGTTATCGGTACAGAGTCTGATTCGTAACCTCGGATAACAACCTTTTGTGTGCGATTCGTAATGCACGACTTGAACCAGTGCCACAAATTGCCGCGAATTCCATTGTAGGCTAATTTATCGAGCAAGATTTTATGATCCACCCTGTCATAAGCCTTTTGGAAAACGGTATATACACTGTCGATTTGTTTAGTGTTATCTAAACCATCAAACAGATAAGATGTAAAGACGAGCAAGTTAGTATTTGTAGAACGACGTTGTACAATACCGTCCTGTTGTTCGATAATGTAATTATGTATAGCAGGATATATACGATTATGGACAAGTCTCTCAAAAAGCTTAGAAAGAGTGGGTAAAATTGATATAGGACGGTAATTCGATACATTTGATTTATCCCCATTTTTGAAAACGGGAACAATTCGTGCGCGTTTCTACACACTTGGGAATGTGCCTTCATGCAAACACATATTATATATACGGTGAAGTGGATTATATATGGTTTTAGATGTTAGTTTAAAGAATATAGGGGGAATATTATCCAAGCCAGGGCCTTTAGAAATATCTAACCTGTTAAGCTCATTTAGTACATCTTCGGCTGATAGCTTCACTTGGTGAATTATAAGGCTTGATTCAGGATTAGGATCAGAAATGTTATGAATATCATACTCATTTACGTTATCTCGTGATTCAAAAACCGATTGGAAAAAAGAAGAAAACAAATGCGGTATTACTTCTGGATTATTTGTAGCATGGTCTTTGTACGACATGGAGCTTGGAATCCCTGCATTTTTGTTTAAGCTGTGAAGGTAAGACCAAAAGTATTTGATATTGTCATGAATGCTTTTTTCAACAATATCCATATATTTTTTATAACATTTAGAGGATTATTTACAAAAAGATCTCTAAATAAGGAAAAAGCGGCGTAATCACTAATATTTCTAAATATTTTCCATTTAATCCACGCTTTATTTTTGTCTCTAATAATATGAATCAATGCCTTTGAAAACCACAGAGGATGGTGTTGAGACCTGGTAGATTTTTGCGGTACATGTTTATTTATAATACAATATATATTTTCATAAAATCAGAGACAATATTTTCGACGCCTCCTTTGTACAGTTATTTATTCCAATAAATTTACTCCATGTCATTATTTATTAAGTTGTAATCCGCTTTATAGAAATCATATGAATATATCCTCTTAATGGGCATTGTGGACAATCTAGTATTAACAGGTACCAGTGCAGATAGCGGCGGGTGATTGTCATCGGGTTGAACCAGAGGAAAAGCTGCGACACATATCCTACAACCATTTGTGTTAGTAATAAATAAATCAAGTATTCTATTCTTAGAATTCTTGTATTTATTCAACTGTAATCAGCTAAAACGGCTTATAGCTCTGGAGATTAGCCTCAACGAGAGCGTCATTGCCTATGAGTCTCTTCGCACGGTATTCCACCGAGTCCAGTGCATCCAGCTGATACCGAACAGATCCGTCCCAAAGGTGACAACAGTACTCCAAGCAGGAGCGAATTTGGGCTCGGTAAAGGTTAAGGAGCTGCTCAGATGTAAAATATCCCCTGACCTTAGAAAGTATTCCAAGTTTTCTGGCAGCGGGTTTTAGCAATGGACTCGATGTAGTGACCGAAATTGAGGCTGGATGAGACGTCCATACCCAAGAGCTCGAGATGGTCTTTAACCGGCACGGAGACATTTCGGTAAGTCGGAGTCAGATGGAATGGACTCCGTTTCGTCGAGAAGAGACAGGCCTGTGTTTTAGAGGGATTGAATTCAAACAAGTTGGCTTCACCCCAGAGGGAAACCGCTTCCAGGGTTGCATTCATTCCCTCCACCATCGCCTCCCTTAATGATCGGACATCTGCATCAGACTTCACATCAGGTACATATCTCTCCGAAACTGTGCTGTCGTCTGCATACCCAAAGATACCGGGAGTTAGGAGCAGATCATTGATGTGCAGCAAGAATAGAGTTGCGGAGAGGACAGATCCCTGGGGGACACCGGCATCAATACCAAGCAGATCCGACGATGTGCCATTAATGACCACTCGTATCAGGATCAGCCCCTCAGAAAATCTGCAATCCAGTTGCAAAGTCCGACAGCGATTCCATATGAAGGAAGCTTGCCAATAAGACTTGCATGCCAGACCCTGTCAAAAGCCTTAGAAATATTAAGAGAAACGGCGAGAGCTTCGCCGCGTTTCTCTATGGCTTTACTCCATAAGTGGGTAGCATACACAAGAAGATCCCCAGTAGATCGCCCACGGCGGAAATCGAATTGGCAGTCACTGAGGAGATCGTTATCTTCGAGGTAAGCGAGGAGACGGTTATTCAATACACGCTCCATAATCTTACAGAGTATGGAGGTGATTGCAATAGGTCGATAGTTGGCAGGGTCGGCACGACTACCCTTTTTGGGTACTGGTTGGACATTGGCAAGCTTCCAGGTTTTCGGAACTTGGCCAATCTCAAGGGATAAGCGATATAGGCGAGTCAGAATAGGAGACAACTCAGGGGCACAATTCCGCAGGACAATAGCTGGAATGCCATCGGGCCCACTGGCTTTATTCACGTCTAGAGTGCTTAGTGTTTTGAGTACCTCTTTCTGATGGATGCGAACTTCCAACATGACAGAAGAACACTGAGGAAGCTTAGGTGGATTTACGCCAGCAGCATCTAGTTGTGAGTTGTTCGCAAATATAGAGGCAAACAAGTCAGCCTTCTCTTTGGAGGTGTGAGCCAGCGATCCGTCAGGCTTAATTAAAGGCGGCAGCGACGACTGGCAAAAATTGGCTTCGACTGTTTTGGCTAGGGACCAGAAAGCCTTGCGTCTGGATGGAAAGGAGGCTAATTTGGCTCCTATACGGCCAATGTGATCGAAGCGGGCCTTGCGGAGAACACCTTTACAGGACTTGGCGGCACTGTTAAAGGCCTTCTTCAGACTTCGAACATTTGGTGATTTGCGGGCTCGAGCATCCGCCCAGGAGCGATACGCAAAATGCTTAAGCGCCTCCGCTTTAGCACAGTCCGCGTCAAACCAAGGGCGGGCTCTAAACCGGCGCGGTACGTCAGAATATAGATTAAAGTACTCCATAGCCTGACGTATCACGTCAGCAATGGCATCCGCGCAAGCAAGTCGGGTCGTCCGAAGAAAAGCAAGTGCGACGCCAAGGATACGATGCAAAGAAATGCCGCATCTCATTCCAGTCTGCTGAACCATATCGCCAAACACGCCTGATTCCGATAGGTTCCGGGTCGCTTGGAGAGTAGACTGATACGGACTTTTGATAGAAAACTTATAATGTTTGTTTATTATCCATTAAATAAATGATTAAAAGTATAATTAAAGTGTCCATATATTAAAATCAAGTATATGAGAATAATATATGAGAATAATATCACAGAGGGACGCGAAGTTCTGGTACTATCCTTGAATAAGTACAAAAAAAATGTTGCGCGATGCACAGCGAGCAGTGTTTTTAGGGTTCCGTAGTCCTGACAAGGAACCCTTATAGTTTCGTCATATCCGTCTGTTTGTCCATCCCCGGTTTTGCTTGGAGACTGTTAACACTAGGGAACTGTAATTCTGTGGAGATATGTATATATCACGCTTACAAAACGTAGATTTCCAGATCCTTTTTTTATTCTTTATATGACAAGAACACATGCAGTTTTGTTTTGGGGAAAAATAAAATCAGATCTGGGGAAATTACAAGTTATAATCTGGAGATACTGCTGTCATTTGGTGACGTGTAAAAAAATTGCAATGGCTGGCTGATAAATTTTGACAAATGCCAAAGTGGTAGTACTGGTAGTGTAGTGGTGGCAAAGTATTTTGCTAGTGATATGTGTTAAATTGCGTTATCTATCTGTTTTCTTCGAAATTCCCTCTCTCTTGTATCCAGGTATTAAGCAGAGGCATTATTTCCCTAACATTAATGTCCTTAAAGTGTAATAAGTTATGGCGGATCCAAAAAATGTCGATAAATCCCTTGAAGGGGAACCACTGGATGATGTTGACCCAAATATAGCGATATCAAGTGATGGCCGTACCATAGCAGAAAGCATAAAATCGACTAAGGTAACAACCTGACGTTATTAAGATGACGACACTTGTGTCGTCATCTTAATAACATCTTGATGTTATTGAGATGTTTCTGATCATTAATTTAAGCAGTGTAAATAGTTTTCTAAACCGTGCTCAGCATAATGCGCAGTATTTACCTTGAGTTTACATGCAACCATGAATGTTTCTCATGAATTATTATTGCAAATTGCCTACTTTCTTTTTCTTAGGAATTTGATAAACATATACAAAGATGAATATTTTGCATTTTTTTTAAATCCTGTTGAAAGTGTTATTATTCAAGAATTACTGCTGCACTCAGTTTTGTTATTTACCTTTTAAGTTTGATTAAAAATGATACTGTACCCTTAGATTAAAACAAAAAGGGAAGATACGGTATTCGCGGCTCAAAAGTGATCCGCTTAAATTGTGGTCCATGACCATAATTCGTTTTAGTCACAATTTGACATTCAAACACGCTGCATGGACATTCAATATAACAATATTGCATATATTCTGTGTTATGAAGATAAAACAAAGCCTTCGATGCTTTTATAAAGAACAAAAATAGTTCAAAATCAAATGCCCCGGCAACGCTTTTCATTCGTAAAACTGTGAAAAATATTTTTTTCTCAAAAATCATATTATTTATGTAATCGCCATTTTGTAAGCAAGAAAAGGACACCAATACGCTGCGTTGAAGCGTATAGTTCGGTCTCGCTCGCTCGATTGATGTTTATATACAGACGTGTGCGTGGCGAAAGTTGCTTATGTAGTTGAGTCGGATCATATTTTTTTTGATGCTAGTATGAGCGTACCGTATCTACCCTTTTTGTTTTAATCTAAGACTGTACCTTTCTATGAGGCTACACTCCAGAGTGATAAGAATAAAGCAAATTTTAAACATAAACATAGCAGTTACAAATTTAATGATGGTGACTCATACTATTTACTATTTGGAATTGGATATAGTATCTGCCATATAAATATATTCCAATAAATTATTTGCTTATTCTTTTTTTTTTCATATATGGGTATGGCCGCAAAAAATTGTACAAATAACATTCATGACATTGTTACACACATTACATACATGACAGCATGTTACATACATGACCATCATAAAGCTTAGTTCATAATAGAAACTATTATAGTAGTTCTTCTAGTACTTAATAGTTCTAGGCCTGTGGTGGTGATATTATAATTTTTGATTAATAAATATAATATTTTTGGTTAGCCCATCATGGTTTTTGTAGTTTTCCTACCATGAATGTGTTTTCATGAGTTTCAGCACTATTATCTTCAGTGATACTATAATTTTTCGGAGTATCTTTTGACTTCATTCTGTGGCGATTTTGACTGGCTCGCCACTATTTTCTTCGGTACATTTCGTGATTTTCTTTCTATTTTTATTTCTTTCTGCATTTTTTGATTTTATTTCTTCATACTTCGAAGGATTTTGGGTTCGTGACTTTTCAAGATATTTTGTTTGCCTTTCGGCATTGGTCAAAGGCATCTGGAATATCTATTTTTAACGAATTTTATCCTACTAATATTATAAATGTGAAACTTTCTATGTTTGTTACTCAATATAGTATACACATTTTATGTGTGCCAAATTTCATCCAATTCCATTCAGCCCTTTTTGCGTGATTGAGTAACGAACATACAAACACACAAACTTTAACTTTAGTTAACTCAGACAAAGTCACAGTAAGTAAGTGTAATCTCCGCCTTAAAATCGGTCATGATTGTAACGTTACACATTTCGTTATACATTGTAACATTCATGACATAAAAAAGCGTGCGACATAACCTAAAGTTCAAATATCATTTAATTGCAAACAACTATGGATTGTGATGTAGGGTCACCGTTTACTGTGATAATACATCTTTCTAAACATGTTAACAGTATACCACAACAAGCAGTACTTAACTTGCAATCAAACATACAAAAATTAATATTTCTTGGCGACAAATCTGAAGTCAACCCAAATGGCAATTTTTATTCAGACAAATATGGCCGATTTTTATTTTTGAATGTTGGCATCTTGCTGAATAGTGTTGCCATTTATAAAAATAGCTAGAATTATTAATTAACATAAAGGAAAGGGGTAGAAAAAAATGTTATAATCATGATGTTACATACTCATCATAAAATTGGTAATTTTTTTAAAAACAATTAAATTTGTAACTGATTTTTATAAGCGCATTTAGAAACACATTGAAGTATCATAAAGCATGAGTACAATTTAATAATTAGATAAAACTATTTTTTTTTCGAAACTGTTGGCAATTTTTGATACAAAGGTATCAAAGTAGTTAGGACAAATAATATTTGTATGGTGAAAGCAGTACTTTTTAAATTATATTTTTTACATATATTTTTTAGGGATGGGTAGGTTACATTTCAGGAGCTCGTCATTCAGAACAAACAACAACACAATGAACAACAAATGTCATATACCAAATAACTTTGAAATTATGAGAAAAATAAAATAGGGTCAAACGAAAATAATATTTGTACAATTTTTTGCGGCCATACCAATAAAATTATAATATTATCAAATTAAATGCATAATAACACTTGAACTCTATAAATATATTAGATAGACTTAATCAAATTATACATACATTTGATTTTGCTGCTATTGTCAAGTAAGAAAAGCAAATAAAAAAAATAGATTAGATTAAAAATGACTAAAGGTTCTGAGCACAAAGGAATGAGTATGAGAGTTTTTTTAGTCACAACGAATATCATCATCGTCATCAGAGAGGCATTTTAAATTTGAAAGAGCACAGAAAGCCTTGGAAAATGCTGCACTTGTATCTAAAAGAATCAAAGAACATCGGAAAGCAACAGCTGAACTATTGGGACGTCCTTTTGGTAATTAATATAATATCAAAAATCACATGAACAAGATAATTATATACCTATGTTTTGTACCTAATCTGATACCTGATATCTTAATGAATCAATAAATTTTGTATGTTATAGAAGATGATGATATTGGAGAATCTGCAGAGGTTGCATCCACCATGAGTGAACACACCGGATACTCCGTAGCAACTGACACTTCAACTACTCTTTCTGTTCAGGATGCCTTGAATAGTAAACTAATTCTATATTTAAAAAAAAACAATATTTTTGAGTTGATACTGGACTACTGGTAACTATATTATAAATTAGTAAACTTCATTTATACAGTAATTCTTTTTTGATTTGCTTCTAGTTCCTGGTATTAGTGAAAGTTTAGCTAATACTTTAAAACAAAAAGAGCTATTAATGGAAAGAATAAAGCAATATAAGGAAATCAGTAAAAGACCAATGAAATCTTCATTTGCTAAAAGAGACTCCAATACTGATGCTAAGATGGAAGTGAATAAAGTAAGTACTACATATGTCCTTATCTTTATTCAGATGCTGTAATTAAGTGTTAAGATATCTGATTGCGAGGAATTAGACCGGAACCTTGCCGGCGCCGGCCCATGTAGTAGCTACGGACTTTCTTGCGTTAAGATATATTCGATTATGAATATGTACATTTATGTTATATCCACTGTACATACATAAGAATTTATTGTTCTTAATCATGATATAGTTGGCAGATGAGCCATTAAGATATTCATAATGTGGTATGAAAATGATTTAAACTAATATTGCCTAAATTTAATATAAGGATTTTTATAATACATAGTATTGGACATTATATTTATTAAAAAACAATGTTATTATAGAAATCAAAAAATGGACTTTTTTAATCAGTACTAAATCTTGGTCTGCTTTTTTGTTTGTGTGTTCTTCACAGAATAGCTCAATAATCTCTAGTTATATTTCAGAATACAGGATCCAGCCCTGATGCCAAACAATTTCTAAACACCATCAAAGAAAAGGAAAGAGCTCTAAGCATAATGCAGGTAAAGGTGAAAGCTCTGGAAACAACAATTCTTGATTTACAAGAGAAGATTAATGAAAAGGACCAGATTATTGAAGCTAAGAATATGGCTACTACACTTATGTCTGATAGTTTGAGTAAAAAAGGTATATAAAAAAACTTATGTAACAAAGCCTTAACTAAAGAAAATCCGGTAGCAAAATTTTCAAAATGAAAAATAATGTTTTACTGTGTCTGTACCAAAATTTCAATTTAATCTATCAATATACACTTATTTAATTCTATATAACTCATTTAATTTTTTTTTATATAAGTACACCACATTTTATATCTTTCTATAATTTCAGAAAAAGATTCATTAATATTGTTAGAAGACACAAGACATCAAATGACTAAAATGCAAGAAAATTTTATGGCAATGGAAACAGAATGGAAAGAAGAAAAAGAGAGGTTAATGATGGAAATTGAAGTGAAAGATGATAGAATTAAGAATTTAGAAGAAGCTAATACAATTTTAGAGAATTCAAGGTTTGAGTTAACTTTATCAAATTCAAAGGTACTGGAAGAATTAGAAACGAAAAATCTAATAATTTCGAAGTTGGAGGAGAATATTAAAACATTATCTGCAGAAAAGATCAATAAAGAAGAATCTAACAAGGAGAAAGAATGTATTGAATTAACTTCATCAAATTCAAAGTTATTGGAGGAATTGGAAATGAAAAATCAAGTTATTTTAAAGTTAGAGGAAAATATAAAAGTATTATCTGAAGAAAAAAATCATAAAGAAGAATCAGTAAAGGAGAAAGACGATTTTGAAGAAGAAAAAGGATCACTTGAAATTTCCCAAATGGTTGAATTGACCAAAAAAGTGGAGCTACTGGAGCAATTGAATTGTCAAATCAGACAAGCTAATATTGAGCTGGAGAACAAAATTTTAAATGCTAATGAACCTAAAACAGCAGCTATGAGTTCTCCTAGTAAAAAAGCAAGTCCTTTGCCAACACGTAAAGGTGGCAGAAATACTGCAGCAAAGAATAAATCTCCTTGGAGTAATTTATCTTCTGAAACACATCAGCAAGATACAGAAAAGAAGTCAAATAAACATGAAATTTCCAAATTAGAAATGCTAGTACAGACATTAAATAAAGATATTCTAAATAAGGAATATGTTATATCTCAAAAGGATGCATTAATAACTGAACTTCAGTCTACAAATGCTGTTCAAAAAAATAAAATAGCTGATTTGGCAGAATCAAAAACAGAACATATTGTCAGTGTGGATATTGGCACAGATGTGCTTGATTTAGTAGAATCCAAGACAGTGTCTGTTACTTCTGACAATAATGAAGGTTCTGAAGCTCAAAGCAATAAAAAACCTGAAGACCTAATGGAAATACAAAACAAATTAGCAACCGCCCAGCAACAAATTGATTCACTAAACAAAGAAATTGATTTAGCTAATAAAAATATGATCAAAGTTAAGTCCAACCACAAACTTAAGGTAAAACAAATGCAAAAGACAATCGATAACTTTAGTAAAATATCTGATGCTAATTCTGAAATTGTAAAACTAAATGAAGAACTACATCAGTTATCACAGAAAGTAGCTGAACTTGAAGAAGAAAAAGGAAATTTGCAACTGCATCTAGTGGATTATGACAGTGGACGATGTATGTGTTCTAGTAAAATTTCTAAACTATTATTTACCCTAAATAATTTTCAATGTCTTTATATTTATTTGGTAACACTTTTTGATATACCCACAATTTACTCACATTTTTTTTTATCGTATATATCAGATCATTGCCTAAAAGCGTTACGAAATCAATATTAACTTATGCCAAACAAGTTCTTTTTTGTCCAGGCTTTATTAATGTATAGCATATATTACTGTCTCCAGGCACATGTAACTAGATTTTTTAAAGGAAAAGACTAGACTTGCAACGAATAGTATATTCGGCAGTATACCGAATACCGCATATTCGGCGAGGCCCCTGACCGAATAGCCGATTATTAGGCAAAAGTATTCGGCTGGATTTTAGCGCCAAAAACTTGTACAGACGTGATTGTTTCGCGCTCCTTTGTTTTTTTCTAATCTGCCGTCCTCCAATGATGACAAAACCAACTTTTAAGATATGGCAAAAACGGCGCGTAAACTTTAAATTATTGCTATTATGTAACCATTCATCACATGACTGAATGAATTAAAACTGTTAACTTGTTAAATACAGAAAATGATTAAATTATGTACCTGTTGTGTCTACAAATGACTACTTAATAAATGATTATAAAAGAAATGAGAACCTTACCCTTCTAAATTTTGATTAGGTACCACAATAATTACAAACAAACACAGAATCCTCCATTTTTCCAAATCAGAAGATGATTATGTACCCGTATTATGTACCAATGACTACTTAAATGATTATATAACAGAAATGAAAATATGAATATATACTTAATCAATCGATTTTAATTTTTCATTTTACTAATTATTTCTCTATGACAAAATATATTATTTAGATATTTGGTATTCGGCCGAATATAATAAAAGCAGCCGAATATGCCGAATACCGAATAGTAACCGAATATTCGTTGCAAGTCTAGAAAAGACCTTTTCTACATCTACTTTTTCCTCTTAGCTATTTGGGCGTTATTTTTCCTAAATTAAAAATAATTTTATGTTACAGTGACAGAAACTGACATCTACAAGAAAATGATTGAAATGGAAAACTTAGCTGAAACAAGATTGAAAGCAATTAGTGTACTGGAATCACAGAAATTCGAATTGGTTCAAGGTTAGTTCATTTACCAAACTGAGAACAATTTCATAGATTCTTCTCAAAAAGTGGGAAATAATGTAACACCTTCTGGATCAAGAAATACATATTAAAGTCAGCTCATTAGAGCTAAGCGGCATCGCCTCGTTGAACGACGCCCACACGTGGTCGATGAGTAAATTCAAGTGGACGCCGCGTTGTCAACCAGGCGGCCAATCCCCTAACGGAATTGCTATGGCCATCGCTATCGCTTACGGTTTTATTTTGTTATTATCTGACAGCCGAAGGTTTTCCAATGCCTCACGCTCTTTCTTTTTCTCTTGAATTGGTAATACACAATATTAAATAAAATGAGCGTGTGTTTTCACAATGTTTAATATTATAAACCGTGAATTGACTCTACGACCTCCATGGCCGAGTGGTTTGTACGCCGTGTTTCAAGGTGTCGCCTACTCGAAAGGTCCCGGGTTCAAATCCCGGTGGGGGCAGATGTTTGTGTGATGAATACGAGCATTTGTACTTCAGTTATGGATGTTTAATATGTATTTCTATATAAATATACTTATGTATATGTACTGTATATATTCTATCCGTTACCCTAGTATCCCATAACGCAAGCCTTACAGTGCTTACTTTGGGGCTAGGCTAATTGGTGTGAGTGTTGGAAATATTTATTTATTATTACTCTAAAAGCTGTCGCGCTTGATATCGATAAAGAAGAAAATGTAATGCGTTGTCAATTCGCGGGCAGCGCGCGGTCTACCCAGGAGCAGCTCGTTTACAACGCGTTTTTAACACGCTCAATTGTCAAATTACTATGGAGCTTGACAGTTACACGCGATAAAAAACGTGATATAATGTTAATTGTGGTGCTCATGCTACGGAGACTGGTTACAACTTGATATGATTGATATTCATTTATTTATGCTATTATAATTTATGTTAAAATAGGCTACTTGACACTTTTTGGAAATATGTTTTAAATGGTTAATAATTGTTCTATTAGACCGGAAAAAATATGTATTGTATTTTTTTTGACCTAGAAAGCTACAAAACTTTAATTTTTTGAATATATTTTTCATGGACGTAAAAACGCTGTCGGCCATTTTAATGTAAAGATTACACAGGTCTGCAACAAAAATGCTGTCTGGGCGTTTTCAACTGATTTAAATGTATTTACGTGATCTAAAAACAAAAAAAAATACTCAAAATATTCCAGAACGTCAGGTTATTTTGCAAAACGAAAAAAAATATCATAAATATGGTAGTTTGGGCTAACTTGAAGGCATAGAAAATAGGTAAAAAAATATTTTGATTACTGTTTTCAAATGTACACTGGCCATAACTAACATTATTTTCTAAATAAAGAACACTCTGTGTGAGTTAAACTAACATAACTCATATATTTTATGTTTTAATCTGAAAGTGCGCGCTCCAAAAGTGTAGAAACTTACAGGGTAGAATTATGTGTTAACTCGACATTGTTTTATAGGTTTGGTTCAATATACTAGTGCAATATCGTCTGTACGGAAATGTGTGAATTGATTTGCCAGTTTCTGTTATATATGTATATGTTACGCTCAAAGATCGAAAACGCTCAGTGAGCGGAAAAATAGCTCACAACGCGTTGTGGTCACAGTAAAACATCCACATGGCGAAATTCGTGTTATGGCTCCAATGAAAACGCGCACGACGCGTTGTGGCAATCACAGAAAGATCAAATAACGAAATTCGTGTCGTGGCTGACATGCTATTCGATCTCAACGCGTTGTGGCAATGAGAAAAGCCATGACGCGTATGGAATATTATTTGATTATGACGCACACTACTTTCCGATATCCATTATCCGCCTAGGCTGGAAACGTTTTGGTAGATGTCTTTAGGAAATATTTTTTATTTTATAAAATGAGTGCATAACGTTTTTTTTTTTTTTTTTTTTTATAGTTAGGTCCGACAAATGACTCCACCCCACCTGATGTTAAGTGAAGGTGAAGTCCAGACGCGAAGATAGCTGATACAGCAGTTCTACCTGCCACACCAGCCATCCTCACCCTGCCGGCCTGCATGTTGCTTCTTCACGCCTCTTTTATAGGATCCCAGGTTGTAAGAGGGAGGGAACACGTGAGCGGGCAGAGCATTCCATTTACGGATAGTGCGACAAAGAAATGAGTCACCAAATTTCTTTGTACGTGTTGGAATTGTGGCCACAGTAAGACGGTGACAACGTAGGCCAGCGCGCGTGGTCCTCTGAAGGAAAGGGGAAGGTGGGATAAGAGAGAATAACTCCTCAGAACACTCGCCGTGGTACAAACGATAGAACGCGCTTAGTGACGCCACGTCACGGCGTAATTGAAGAGGCTCAAGGTGTTTAGTCACCTCCTCATCGCCTATGATGCGGATCGCGCGCCGCTGTAACCTATCCAAAGCATCGAGCAAGTACTTGGCGGAGCCATCCCAGAGGTGCGAGCAATATTCCACGCAGGACCGCACTTGCGTTTTGTACAACAAGCACAGTTGATCGGGCGTGAAAAAACGCCGCACCTTGTTCAGGACTCCGAGTTTGCGTGAAGCTGTTTTGATCACGGTTTCGATGTAGTCCTTTGGATTCAGGTCTGAGCGAACTTCCATACCGAGCATGGAAATGTTGCTCTGCAGCGGTAGTGTTGTGCCCTGAAGAGATGGAAGGGGAAGGAATGGCGATGTTTTTGCCGTGAAAGCGCAAGCCTGAGTTTTCTTGGCATTGAACCCAACCAAGTTCCTGGTACCCCATTCGGAAATGTGGTCCAAAGCCTGATTGAGTTCAATGACAAGATTTTCCCGTTTCTCCCTGGTTACTGCCTGCCCAGCCGCTGCTTGTCCGAGATACCCCGCATGCACTGTACTATCGTCTGCATAGCAATGAATATTCCCAAGAGGAACGTGTTTGTCATTATTAAATATGATATATAATTATATAAATTAAAAGAAAACGATATTTGTTATTTATTGAGATTACTTTATATTTAAAAATAAACAACGTATTAAGTAATAAATTACTGAACACAATATAAATAATTTGTAAATTACTTATAATTCACTTAAAATAATTAGGGATTTTAATGTTTTTATGTCAATTTAAAATTCATTCAAGTAATAAAAATATTTAACACAAACATAAATGTTTATTGATCACCAATAAACAACAACAATGTACTTAAATCAATTACTTATATTAGAAATTACTATAATTGAGAAAAATAAGTATTTGATTGCTATTTATTTTTACAGGAACTATTACTGTGGCATTTAGAGTTGCATTTTATATTTTTTTTTTTATTTTTTTTTTCCACATTATTACACATGTAAACAACACACAATCTGTTACACATGTAACAGATTGTCGGCAGCAGCTCTCGTTATAATATTTTATATGTATAAAAACCTATCTTGTTCAACAAAAAAATAAAAAACAAAAACACATGCACATACACACAGGCACACATAACTTACATACACACGCACGCACACATAAGATACTTTCCCTTTTTTTTTCAAACAATAACAATCCAAAATATACTATAAAACTTTCTTACATAGTTTACCTCTTAAAAACATTTACACACCCACGCGCACACATAATTATACATAAGTTAGGTACATAACTAGTACAGGCATACTATGATATGAATGAGGACTTACACCAAAACTTGCAGATTGTATCAGTAATCTATTAACACACAAATATCTAGTTATTTATACCGTTTTTGATTTTTGTAATTTAACACTTAATAAACAACCCAGCTTTAACTAACCTACCACTTAAGGCTTTCCCTCTCTTTATGGACACAACGATAGGTAATGCTTGCGCAGGGTACTCTTTAAATGATTTTTGGATAATATATTTTTAAGAAGATCATATGGCAGTTCATTGAGCAAAGTAGGCGTGGACCAGCTCCTCACTCGCTTACCATAATAGTTTTTATATTTCGGAACAACAAGTAGCGGCTTCTTAGATTGACGGGTAGCGTATGTATATTCTCTTTCTTTTTTAAACTCATATTTATGATATTTTTCAGTTAAAATTGCGACCTTTACTTTTTCCTCTATTGGTAGTATTTTACAAATTTTAAACAGTTTTTCATAGGTGCCTTTGATTTCCTTTTTTTCCTTTACTGATATTAAAAGCTTAAGTAATCTTATTTGTAGTGACTTAATTTTATTTAAATGAACAGGATATGTAAGACCGTAGGTATTTAATCCATACGACATTATTGAATCTGCTAGCGCGTAATAGAGAATATACATAATGCCCCTGGTAACGGTATATTTTATATTGTGTAATTTTCCTAGAATTGATCGTAATTTATTACAAACTAAATTGACCTGCAAGTTCCAACCAAAGTGATTATCGACATTTAATCCTAAAAACTTATAAGAGGACACATATTCGAGTTGTTCACATTTACAGTTAAGTTTGTTATTGTGCAAGCAGTCATAACTGTGACCTTTTATGCGTATATCAATATTCTTATCTTTCGTATATGGGGAAAATATACACATACTCTTTGTTTTGTTGATATTTATGATTATACCATTGTCGTGTGCCCAATGAACTATATTGTCAAAATCCTCTTGTGTAGCTTTTAGAATATTATTCCTGTCGGTGTCACTGTATATAATGCATGTGTCATCTGCGTACATGTAAGACCTGCATTTTTTGATAACATTAGGCATACTGTTAACATGCATTATATATCCGACCGGTCCATACACAGAGCCAGTAGGTATACCAGATTTTATAGTTCCCCCCCTGCTTTCCTTTCCGCATACACACACCTTAATCTTTCTCTCTCTTAAATACTCCCTAAACCATGAGTTTACTGGCCCTCTGATTCCACACTCCTGCATGGACTGCAATAATTCCTCGTGACCAAGTGTATCAAAAGCTTTTTTGAAGTCTATGAATATAGCATAGATAATTTTTTGTTCATTTAATGCATTGTTTATATCATCCGTTGCTGTACTTCTCTGTGGACGGA